GAGGTCCACGAAATCAGCAGCCAGAATCTGGGCAAGTTCTTCATTCCGCTGCTGGAGCACTTCATCTTCGGCCGCGCATATGGCACCGACGACCAAGGTTTGGGCGCCCAGGCGACAATCACGATTGCGAACTTGGCCCTATCCCTTGACTGGAAGACCTACCGTGTGATCCTTCAGAGATACATCAGCTTTGTGGAGTCAAAGCCTGATCTGCCGAAGCAGGTGAACAAGCTGCTCGGCAAATTCAGCGATGCTCTCGTCGTCTCCGTGGAATCAAAGGCCACTGACGTTGAACCCATGCAAGTAGATGGCTCCGAGGCTGCCTCCTCCTCCAACTTGAGACTCGCTCGCACCGTTCCCGCACAGGCGAAGCTCAGCACCGATGTTAGCAACCTTTTCCTTCCTACCTTGATCAAGCACTTGCACGAGAAGGATGAATCCGAGGTCAGCTACCGTGTGCCTGTCGGTGTCATCATCGTCAAGCTCATGAAGATCCTCCCATCTGAGGAGATGGGCCAGAAGCTTGCTGGTGTACTCACGGATATCTGCCACATTCTCCGCAGCAAGTCCTGGGAAGCCCGTGAGATGGCCAGAGATACTCTGGTGCAAATCGCTTCCGTTCTGGGCCCGACCTACTTTGGTTTCATTCTGAAGGAACTTCGCGGCGCGCTCAAGCGAGGTTACCAGCTGCACGTTCTCTCATACACCCTTCACTCCATGTTGCTCAGAGTCATCCCGGAATTTGAGCAGGGTGATCTCGACTACACTCTCTGGTCTATCGTGGCGGTTATCATTGATGACATATTCGGTGCTGCCGGTCAAGAGAAGGATGCTGAGGGATACGTCAGTGAGATGAAGGAGGTCAAGGCAAGCAAGTCTCAAGATTCCATGGAGTTGATTGCCAAGTCTGCCTCCATCAGCCAACTCGTCGCACTCGTGCACCCACTGCAATCTCTTCTCTTGCAAAAGGTCGACCTCAAGCTGGTCCGCAAGATCGATGCGTTGTTGGCCAGAATCACCGCTGGTCTGCTGCAAAACCCTGCAGCAGAGAGCCGTGACACACTAGTGTTCTGCTACGAGGTCATCCAAGAAGTCTACAAGAGCAAGCAGCCCGAGAAAGCACCGAGGATCGACCCGCGCCTCAAGAAGTATCTCTACCAGAAGGGCGTGAAGAAGGACAACCACGGCACCGCGGGCAAGTACACGTACAAGCTGGTCAAGTTCGCCTTCGACATTCTGCGGGCCGCCTGGAAGAAGCATGACAGTCTGCGCACTGCAGCGAACATCACTGGTTTCGTCCCCATCATTGGTGACGCTGTCGTAGGCGGCGAGGACGACGTCAAGGTTGCTGCTTTCAAGCTGCTCAGTGTCCTGGTCAGAGTTCCTTTCAATAACGAGGACGATGAGAAGTTGTTCAGGGTCGCCACCAGGGAGGCCTCGAAGAGCATTTCAATGTCAACATCTACGACCACAGACCTCTCCCAGGCTGCGCTGAAGTTCCTTTCAGTCATTCTCCGGGAGCGCAAGGACATTCCCGTTAAGGAGGCAGCCATCGACATGCTGCTCGGCAAGCTCAAGGACGACCTTACCGAGCCTCTCTACCGCCACGTCACTTTCAACTTCCTGCGCTCCGTTCTTGAGCGCAAGATCGAGACTGCTGTTGTCTATGACACTATGGACTACGTCGGTACCGTCATGATCACCAACGACGACCAGAACACGCGAGACTTGGCGAGAGGCGCCTTCTTCCAGTTCCTCCGGGACTACCCTCAGAGAAAGGCTCGTTGGGTGAAGCAGCTCAACTTCATCGTTGCTAATTTGACTTACGAGCGAGAGGGCGGTCGTTTGTCCGTCATGGAGGTCGTCCATCTTCTATTGACGAAGTCGGCAGATGATTTCGTGCAAGAAGCCATCGCCACGTGTTTCTTGCCCCTAGTCATGGTGCTCGCCAACGACGACAGCGAGAAGTGTTGCCTCGCTGCCGGAGAGGTGCTCAAGGAGATGTTCCGTAAGGCTGACAAGGAGCGGATGCAGAACTTTATGACGCTTCTGCGTTCGTGGATCGAGCAGGAGGACAATGCAGCTGTTACGAAGCTCGCTCTCCAGGCATTTGGCTTCTTCTTCGAGGCCAGGGAGCCTTCAACCAAGCACAAGAAGGAGCTGGACTTGGTTCTTGGCAAGATCGGGGAGATTGTCGGGACTGGCGATATCCGCGTCGCTGACGAGGATTTGATGAACACCGTCCTCCATGACGTGCAAGTTCTGACTGAGAGATACCCCGAGAGACTCCTCGGTTCGGAATCTCGGGACCTCTGGGGCGACATCCGCGGATGCTTCACGCATCCTGACAACTCCGTCAAGTTGAGCACCGCCAAGGTTCTGAGTGCCTTCCTCGCCGACTACGCCAGCAAGGCTGCCAAGGCGGGAGAGACGCTCAAGGGGTCTCACGGACTGGACCTGGATTGCGAGGATGTCGAGGAGCTGGTGAGGTTGACCATGTACGCCTTGAGAACTCCCGAGATCGAAGACACCCTTGCCACGGAACTCACTCAGATCCTGGTATTCTTGGGTCCCCGTCTGCCCGTCAAGGTGCAAAACGTACCGGAAGCCGTGACCCTTGGAGACAGAGACGAGCAGGAGGCTGAGGAGGACAGAATTGAGGAGCACCGCAAGGACCTCCAGTACCTCTTCTGGAAGCTCTCCTCCCTCTTGCGCAAGGACGTCCGGCCCAAGTCAAGCGCCATCACCCCCAAGGTCGTCGCCATGGAGGTCTTGGAGACGATTTGCCGTCGCGTGCCTCAGGAGCACCTCGAGCCCTCGTTCAAGACCATCCTGTACCCCTTGCAGAACCTGACGGACCCCAATATCCCCGTGCCCTTCTCGAACGACGAGCAGTTCAAGACCAAGCTGGATGGCCTGAAGAACAGGGCACAAATCCTCATGGACTCTCTGCAGAAGAAGTTCGGCACGGCTGAATACACCAAGACGTTGTTGGAGATCAGGGAGGAGGTGCGCGAGAGGAGACAGCAGAGGTCGAGCAAGCGCAAGATCGAGGCAATTGCGCAGCCGGAGAAGTACGGCAGGGACAAGAGGAAGAAGACGGAGAAGAAGAAGGAAAAGAAGAAGGTCCGCAGCGCCGAGCACAGGGCGGCCAGGACGGCGTACAAGGGGTGGTAATTACTAAGTCTGCACAAAGACTGCATTGTATGGCGTTCTCGGTGGGAAAAAAGGCTGCGAAGATATGCATGGTGTTTTATAGTACATGGGCTACATCGCCCGCTCATATGTGAGATTCTTATCTATTTTGTTGTTACGTTTCATCTTCGTCTCGCCGCCCAGAAGTGTGTGGTGATGGGTATCCAGAACGCCGTCTCCATGCAGTCGTGTCGTTTCCCCGACGGCTCCAAGCCGTCACTTGTGTGGTCCAAAGCATCGCCCCCAAATATCAATGTTGTACAATGTGACAGTTTTCCATTACATCCCTCATGACTCTTCCTTCTTGGCCTCGCTGGCCTTGGCCCCAGCCTCGGCCTCCGTAGAGCCCTCGTCCGGGTAGAACTCAATGTCACCATCCTCGCCTAGCGTGCCCCTCTTCACCAGCCTGCCCTTCTCGCGCATGAGATCCTCAACGGTGACCTTCTTGTCGCCAAAGATGCCGAGGTGGTCGCTGATGACGTGGCGGTTGCGGCAGCCCGGGCAGGTGATGAGGACGGAGCCGTGGTGGTAGCCCTGCTTAGAGACCTTGTGGCGGGAGCGGGTGTCGCAAGGCACGCAGGTGAAGTCGAGCTGGTAGTGCGGGTTCGACTCGAGGCGGATCTGCTGCTCAGTCTTGCTCTCGAGGTCGCGCGCGGCTTTGGGCTTCGGGATGGAGTGGGCGAGGCGTGCAGCGACGGCCGGTTGGAGGGGTAGGTTTTGAGAGAAGGCGCCTTGGGGGATGAGGCGCATTATCGGGGAGGTGGTTGGGCGGGCTGTTTGGCGCAGCAGAGGCGCTAGTCTTGTGAATGCTGAGCGCGAGGCCATTTTTGTGTATTGTGAGTGTGGTGCGTCGGCACTATCGTGGCTGGGCTGCTGGTGTTGGTGGGCTTGAAGCTCAAAAGTCAAGTGGAAGCGAATTGGAGCTTTAGTCGCAAAAAAAAAGTCCTGGGAATGCCGTCACTGCTCTTCCAGATTCCAGAACCCAAAGCCCACTGTAAAAAGATTGAAACGGATAAGCGCCACCTGTGGATCTCAGATGTGGCACAGCAGGGGAAATCAACGAATCAGAGTCCTACAGTCCTAACTGGCTGGCCCGTGCGTCTAGGAACTGGGATAAGGATGGGAATTGATTGGGTCCAATAACCCGGTCGCGCCTTCCGCCTCATGCGCGCGGACCATCCCGGCTTCGGGGGTGGTTTTGTGTGCCGTGTAGTGCAGTGCAGCCTTGCTTTTCTTTCCCGCGCTCATTGTGAACTGAACCTAGACAACTGCCTGTACCGCCTGCGATGCCTTGTTCAATACCGCCTCCTTCGATCCTTCCTGTCGCGAACTCCCTCCTGCCCTGCGCGACTGAGGCTGCAAAGACCAGCTAGGACTTCTGCTTCCCTTCGCTTCCTCCGACAACCTTCTTTCAGCGCAACGCCACTACAACTTACCACTCCTTCCCCTCCACCACACTTTCTGAGAAAGCTACCCCGCCGCCACTTACTCAGACGCCCACGATAGCTACTTCGACCTGAAACGGTCAACCACAACACCACTCCCGGCAGAATTTTCGCTACACACGATATCTCGATATCCATAAGGAGACACGATGATTTCCGGCAGAGGTGGAGGAGGTACAGCCATGCGGGCTGGTCGCATTCGGCCCCCGCGCCGCCCGGGCAGGGTAAGTCACCCCAATATGTCACTGCGGGAAGGAAGGCGCGATGAAAAGCTTGATTTTGGTGCAAGATCTTTCTTCTCGAGCTCTGAAGACCCATTTCATTCGCGTCTTTCGTTGAATCGATGTTGCCGTGCTCAGCATGGCTATTGTTTGCCTGTTTGGGCATTGGCTGGGTGCAAACACCAGACGATCGATACGGGGTACCCGGCAGCCGCACATCCCGATGAACCGGGCTGACAAGACGAACAGCTCACCTCAGGTATCGACACGAGCGACTTCGAGCAGTGCTGGGAAACCCTCAAGCAAGCCCTTACCGACATTCACAACCAGAACTGCAGTACCCTCTCCTTCGAGCAGCTTTACCGAGCTTCATACAAAATTGTTCTTAAGAAGAAGGGCGAGATGCTATACGACCGCGTCAAGCAGCATGAGGAGCAATACTTCTCCGAACATGTCATTCCCGAGATTGACAAGCTCGTCACCGCAAACCTTGTCAGCGCTGCTATGGGCGGCTCGGCTACCTCGGTCAACGAGCGACGCAAGATGGGCGAGCACTTCCTGAAGGGCGTGAGGGCCTCTTGGGACCACCACAACACCTCAATGAACATGACTGCCGATATTCTCATGTATCTCGACCGTGGATATACTCAAGACGCCCGCCGAGCGTCCATATACACTGCGACTATCGGCTTGTTCAGAGATCATATCCTGCGAGCCTGCCTCAACTCGAGCGGGGAGTACACCGTTTTCGACATCCTCAACTCAGTCATTTTGGACCATATCAATATGGAGCGGGACGGAGACAATATTGACCGCCATTTGCTGCGCAACATCGTTCGAATGCTGGATTGTCTTTACGAGTCGGATGAGGAGAACGAGTCGGAAAAGCTGTATCTCACAACATTCGAACCAGCGTACCTCCAGTCTGAGCGAGAATACTACAAGCAGGAGTGCGAGCGCTTGCTCCGCGATGCTGATGCCGGTGCCTGGCTTCGGCACACGCAACGGCGCCTTGCAGAGGAGAACGACCGATGTGACACCACCATTCATTATGAGACGAGGGAGAAGTCGATTAAGGTTGTTGAGGAGGAGTTGATCTCGGCGCACCTGGACGATTTCCTGAATCTTGAGGGCAGTGGACTCAAGTCCATGGTCAACTACGACCGTGAAGAGGAGCTATCCATTCTTTTCAAGCTCGTCTCAAGGGTCGACCCGAAGAAGACGTCGCTGAAGACGATTCTCTCCGCCCGCGTCGTTGAGCTCGGTCTCGAGATTGAGCAAATCCTCAAGGATACCAACTTTGCTACGGCGGCTGTGGCTGACGGCGAAGAGGGCGAGGGCGCCGAGAAGGCCAAGACTCTGAGCTCATCAGCCCAGCAGACCGCTGCTGCTATCAAGTGGGTTGACGATGTATTGAAGTTGAAGGATAAGTTCGACAATCTGTGGAAGAAATGTTTCCAGGAAGATTTGATCATTCAGACCGCTCTCACGAAGAGCTTCTCCGATTTCATCAACATGTTCACCAAGAGCTCAGAATACGTCTCACTGTTTATCGACGACAACTTGCGCCGCGGTATCCGAGGCAAGACCGAGACCGAAACTGAGGAGGTGCTGGAGAAGGCCATCACTGTCATCCGCTACCTTTCCGACAAGGATCTCTTTGAGAGGTACTACCAGAAACACCTCGCCAAGCGTCTCCTTCACAACAAGTCTGAGAGTCATGACGTGGAGAAGTCGATGATCTCGCGAATGAAGCAGGAACTTGGCAACCAGTTTACTGCCAAGTTCGAGGGCATGTTCCGAGACATGGAGTCATCCGCCGAACTGTCTTCCGGCTACAGAGATCATATCAGGGGTCTGGGCGATGTCGAGCGTAAGCAGATTGACCTTGCCGTCAACATCCTGACGACCAACTCATGGCCTCCCGACATCATGGGACGCAACTCGCAATTTGCCGATGGCGCCGGCTGCAATTGGCCGGACGAGATCAAACGCCTGCAAGACAGCTTGCTCAAATTTTATCTCACTAACCGCAGTGGTCGTAAGTTGACATGGTTGGGCTCGACCGGTAGCGCAGATATCAAGATGGTCTTCCCTGCTATCCCTGGTGGTAAAGGGCCGCTATCGCGCGAGCGACGATATGAACTGAACGTCCCGACATATGGCATGGTCGTTCTCATGCTCTTCAATGAACTGGAGGAGGATCAGGAGCTGTCTCTGGAGGAGATCCAAGCCAAAACCAACATTCCCACACCCGATCTCACTAGGGTTCTTGCTTCCATCTCCATTGTCCCGAAGGCCAGGGTTCTCCTCAAGGAGCCCGCCACCAAGTCAGTCAAGGCCGGAGACAAATTCAAGTTCAACAGCGCCTTTGTCAGCAAGCAAGTGCGCATCAAGGCTCCCATCATCAACGCCACGTCAAAGGTCGAGGGCGATGAGGAGAGGAAGCAGACTGAAGAAAAGAACAACCAGACCCGTGCTCATGTCATCGACGCTGCGCTCGTGAGAATCATGAAGTATGCTACCCCGGCAGCCTTTCGCTGTGGCATTGGCTAATATTTCACAGGCAACGCAAGGAGCTCACCCATACGCACCTCCTTAGCGAGGTCATCGAGCAACTCAAGAGTCGCTTCACGCCTGAGGTCACCCTCATCAAAAAGCGCATCGAGGATCTAATTGTACGCGAGTACCTCGAACGAGTGGAGGACGTCTCGACCCCGACTTACCGCTACCTCGCTTAAGCTTTTCAAAGCTTGCTCTAGTGAGCACGACGACGGAAATGATTATGATTTGAATAGAGGCATTCGGGCTGCATCAGGCACGGTTAGGGTTTTTTCGGCATTGGCGTTGGGGGGATGAGTCGGTTGGTCAGTAGCTATCGCGCATATCTTTGAGAAAAGTGGCCGGCGGTGGAGGGCTTAGGCAGTGAGCCTATCTCGTTGAGTTTCGAGGCCTTTTGACTTTTCCATACGCCACAGGCAGTCGTTGGGGTCTGAACTGGCTAACGGTGGGTGAGATTCAGGCGGTTGTATATATTACTTTCGCATGTACGAATTTCAAGGGACTTCTTGCATGATTTCTATTCTTTCTCTGTTCTTGTCTCTTCCCGTCGTCCCCCGGTCATCATTCGTACCTCTGTATTCTTGTGCAAGTCAAACATCCGCACCGACCGAGAGAGAGGCCGTTGTAGCTTCAGAAAGGCAGTCGCTGGCTGTGATGAGCGCATGCTTCGTCGTTATCGAGGGCCACCAGGTATAAAATTGCTTCCTTCATTCAAAGAACGTAGCTTCAAGGGCCAATGTAAGGGAATCGAGCCGATCTCCGCACGTGAGCCGTTGCCTCGCCTTCTTTTTGGGTTGTCCTCTTACCGAGGTACTGCCATTCCCAAGTTTGGATCCATTCGCGGTTGCTTGAGGGTACTTAGTAACGGAATAGTTGGGGAGAGACAGGCCTGGCGGACGGTGATGTGACTCTTGGAGGTTGCCTTGTATTCTTCCATCCGCAACATAGGGTTCTGTCTCTGGCTGTTAAGATGATAGTTGGGATGGCTTCTTTTTGTTCAGAGGGTGTGGTACGCAGATTTCATTTGTCTCGTTGCTGTTGTTTGTTACACAAATTGAGCGCTTTAATATGTAGGCGCTCTCAACGGTTCACCCTGTCTTCGTGTACGCTGCGGGGTCTACGCTCAGGTGGGCTCCAACGTGCTCTGGGAGTGCTTTTAGAGCGGTGATGATGAGTCGTATAAATACGCCTAATCGATGATGATCTCAACTTGTTGCAACACAATGCGCGGAACTGTCTGGCCCTGAGTGCTGATGGGAGTGAGGGATCGCCGCTCGTCATAAGATTATGCTGTTCTGCTTCTATGTGGGGAAGGGAAGGTTTGGGAGTTATCTGGGCTCAGAAAACGTCATGTTTGGGCGAATACTTAGAAAAGAATAGAAATATCAGAAGACGCTGACGATATGATGAGAGAAACTTCTTGAGATACTGCACAAATTTGACAGGCCGTCTGGGGTGCTGCTCATCTTGGAAAACCAATACAATGTCGGAGCACAAGCGACATTGTTGCTGTCTGCAACAAAATGATACCAAGATGGCCTCTTTATAAGGTGCGTGGTGCATAGAGTGTGAAGAATGTAAGAGGAATGCTGCGCCAAAGGCTGGGTGCTAATATGCGCAACACGCAATCGCCATGTTCGTTTCGGATCTGTTTGTTTCAAAGGGAATTAGATTATGTTAACTACGTAAAAGCTGCGCCCAGCAAAGGCGGCTAAGAGCTATATAGTGCTTCTAATCATCACATATTGGGCAAGGTTTATGTGTATGAATACTTGACAGGCTCTGCTTATCAGGTATTCACTGATGAATATCTGAAGAAGGCAGGAGGAAGAAGGCGAGAGCCCTGGCTGTAGAGGGAACAAGAACATAATTACAGGAACACCCTGCGCAGCCATATGCCTTATTTTGATGCGAAGCTTCCTGTATACTGATTGGAATAGTAAAGGGAAAGTGAAGAACGATTGGGATGGGTGGAAATTTTGAGCTTCAACTCCATAGTAATATCACTCTTGCCAGGCTTAGATAGACTTCAGCAGGGTTGATCACAACCGCAATAACTAGTTAACTTCACACTGTAACATCTCCGGCAACCGCCGTGAGAGGTGGGCAGATACCGAGATACCATAATACCTCGAGGCTGGGAAGATCTCTGCCTGGAATGGTGTTGCCACAGATATCTTAGCATAACAGATCTTCTATTATCATCGCCCTCCGCATTGGAAATAGCGGTCAGCTAAGCATATGGTGATAATTGATGTCGCTGTTTATCATAGCCTCAACCTTCTCGTTTCTTTACGTCACAGCTTGGTGCTCCCAGCAGGTCCATCAACCTCTCCAAACAACTCCATAAACGCTCCATGAACCTCATCCGTGAGATCGCTCGCCTGCAAACTCCTCCCCTTCTTGACGAACGCTCGCCTCGAGCACTCCCTCGTAATCGCACACCCTCCAAACGCAGCCAGTCTCACCAACTCTGCCTCCGCAAGCTTACTGTCTCCCGTATCCCACAATCCATCAAGATACGCTTTCCTCCACCCCAAGAACGTCGCAATCGACCCCGTCAGCGTATCCCCCTGTCCACCACTCCTCTTCAACCCGCCCTCGAGGTCAACGATAAAGGTATCCTCCCCATTCGTGATGAAATCCTTCGCCCCCTTCTGCACAACCGTCACGCCCTCAAGCGCCCTCGCCAGCGCCTCAACCTTAGCCGTCTCCTTCTCATCCCTCCCCCCTTCTGCGCCCTCCTTCGCCTTCCCCTCATCAATCCCAAGCGCCTTGCACAGCCGCGAGAACTCAACCACGTTCGGCGTCAGCACCGCCAGCGCGTACCCCTTCACGAGCCCGGGGTCCTTCTGCACGAGCTGCAGCGCGTCCGCGTCGAGCACCAGCGGGATCGAGCGCTCCCTGGCGGCGCGGATGACGCGCGCGACGGTGTCCTGCATCAGCGGGTCGCGGCCGAGGCCGGGCCCGATGACGAGCACGTGCAGGCGCGCGAGCATCTCGACGATGGGCGCCGAGATCTTGTCCGCGTCCGGGGGGGCGGAGGCGGTGTCCTCGGAGGGGGACTGGCGCATCAGGGGGTGCACCATGAGGTTTGGCGAGTAGGTCTTGATGGTGGCTGCTGCGCCGGGGGTGCAGATTACGTGTGACTGTGCATGTCAGTTCTGGACCCAAAAGCGGGCGCCTTGACGGCGAAGATCGTGGCAATGGGAGTTTTGGGGGGCCTACCATATCGCAGCCCAGCCTGGCGCTCGCCATGGCTGAGAAGTACGGTGCTCCCGTGTAGTCCACGCTACCGCCGATGACGGCGACGCGGCCTAGCTGTCCTACGAATTGACTGTCAGCCCCTCTTTCTGCCCAATCCGCGAGGATGCCGTACCTTTATGGAACTTCTCCAGCATGGGCGGAACCATCCGCTGAACGCGGCCGAGGATCTCCTTCGTTGCAGACGACATGGCGGGGGCGGGGTCAGATGGCATCGCAAGCTTGAATGTGTGCAGAGTGAGCTGATGTGTAGGCTAAATACCGCAGTGGAACAAGCGGGAATCGCTGGTAAAAAGTGAGGCCGACCGTGAATTAAATTACTGAAAGAAAGGGGGAGTAACCTCCGGAGCTAGACGTTTGAATTGGGTTTGAAATTCGCACGAGGGGCAGACGTTTGGCGAGTTGAGATCAGGAGCTGTGACAGGCGAATGATGTCACTTGCCGATATCCCCGAGGCGTCACAAATCCACACCAACGACGTCTCATCGAAGAATCATCGCAAACAACGCCCATTCTTTGGCTTTTGCATATGTCATAGAACAGTTCGAAGCTGTAAAGGCCTTCTTATCAAAGTAGTTTTATCTTCAAAATCTATTGTTATTCATGGGAGGATTGTGCGGTGGCACATTCGGTTGCGCTACATATAACTGTGAAATTCCACAGATCTTGGACGTAAAGTCAGAACCAAAGCCGACAGACTGCACGATCTCATCGAGCTGCTTCCATCTGGTCCTGATAGAATTACATTCGGGAGTGGGAAACTAAAGCGGGATATTGAAGACTATGGCTAAGATAGTGATGGTGATAGGGATGGTGATGATTGAGGCTAACGACGGTAACGAGGAGTAACGGTACAGGGCAAAAGAAATGATGACGACAGACGAGGACGACAGACGAGGACGACAGACGAGGACGACAGACGAGGACGACAGACGAGGACGGCAGGCGAGGAAGGCGGGCGAGGAAGGCAGACGAGGATAACGACGACAATGGCGACAAGAAGGACAGTGGGATACGTTCAATCATGGTATAAATTTGCTTCTAAGTAAACGTCCAAACTGCCAGATAACCGTTCGTCGCGCCCCAGACATTAGCATGTCACATAAGTTTTCGTAGTGCTTAAAATTCATAAAAGATGCCGCTCGCCAATAGTCCCCGCTTAAGCCTTGACAATCCTGCAAACCAAGTCCGAGCCGTCGACTGAGTCGCCCTCCTTAACCTGGAGGGTGGAGACCTTGCCATTGTGAGGAGCAGAGATGACCATTTCCTGGATAGGATGTTAGTATATAGGTCACAAGCAGCATCGACACAGAAACTTACCATCTTCATGGCGCTGAGGACAGCGATAGGGTCACCCTTCTTGACATCAGATCCGTCCTTGACACGGAGCTCAACCAAAACACCAGCCATAGGCGCGCCAACCTGGCTGGAGTCGGAGGGGTCGGCCTTAGGACGGCTGACGTTCTCAACCGAGGCCTTGTTGTCGTCGACGGTGACTTGTCTGACTTCACCGTTCATCTCGTAGAACACCTCGCGCTGGCCAGTGTTCTCGCTCAGAGGACCAATAGCAAGGAGTTTAAGAATGAGGACCTTGCCCTTCTCGAGCTCGACATGGAACTCCTCACCAATCTCGGGACGAGACAGGAAGTACTTGGTGGGCAGGACGGAGAGATCACCATACTTCTGGATGAACTTCTTGTAGTCCTCGAAGACCTTGGGGTACATGACGTACGCGGCAATGTCGCACTCGGTGATGGGACCGCCGAACTTCTTGTGGAGGTCGCGCTTGACCTTGGCGAAGTCAACGGGCTCAAGGAACAGACCAGGGCGCTTGTCCAGCTTCCTGCGGCCACGGAGAGCGTTGGAGCGGAGGGGCTCGGGGAATCCGCCGTACGGCTGGCCCATCATACCCTCAAGGAACTCCAGGACGGAGCCGGGGAAGTCGAGCTCGGAGGCACGGGCCTTGACGTCCTCGGCGGTAAGCTTGTTGGAGACCATGAACTGGGCAAGGTCACCAACGACCTTGGAGGTGGGCGTGACCTTGACGATGTCGCCAAGGAGATCGTTGGCGTGCTCATATGCCTTCTTGGTCTCAGCCCACTGCGTTCCAAGACCTAATTGAGATGCTTGGAACATCATGTTGGTGAGCTGACCACCGGGGATCTCGTGCTCGTACACCTCAGGGTCAGGACCAGCGAGGTGAGCCTCGAAGGGCGAGTACAGCAGGCGCAGCTGCTGCCAGTAGGTGTCCAGAGCGCGGACGTGGGCGGGGTTCAGGCCGGGGTCGAGATCGCTGCCCTCAAGGGAAGCAATGATGGCGTTGATGCTGGGCTGAGAAGTCATACCGGACAGACTGTCGGTGGCAGCGTCGACGGCATCGGCACCGGCCTGGGCGCAAGCGACCATGGAAGCAACACCCGTACCAGCGGAGTCGTGAGTGTGAACATGGATGGGCAGCTCGGGGTACTTCTTGCGGATTGCGCCGACCAACAAAGTAGCTGCGTGGGGCTTGAGGACACCAGCCATGTCCTTGAGACCGAGGACGTGGATGTCGAGAGCAACCAGCTTGTCAACCAAGTCTAGGTAGTACTCGAGGTTGTACTTCTTCTTGGGGTTGAGCACTGAAAACTGGTTAGCAAATGTGACAATGATCATGAATAGAACGCAGGGGAAACTTGCTGTCTCCTGAAATGCACACGGTACCCTCGACGACACCTCCAGCCTTGTGAACGGCCTTGATACCGACCTCGAGCTGGTCGATGTCGTTCAGGGCGTCGAAAACACGGAAGATATCGACACCGTTCTTCTTGGCCTGCTCGACGAAGTGGTCGATAGCGTTGTCGGGAAGGGACGCATAGGCCACACCGTTAGCTCCACGCAGGAGCATCTGGAAGGGGATGTTGGGGACTGCCTTCCTCATGCGGCGCAGACGGTCCCAGGGGTCCTCGTACAGAAAGCGGTAGGCAACATCGAAGGTGGCACCTCCCCAGCACTCCAGAGCGTACAGGTTGGACAGGGCGTGACTGGTCTCCTTGGAGATGTTCAGGAGATCAACGGTGCGCACACGGGTAGCCAGAAGCGACTGATGGGCATCACGCCATGTGGTATCCATCAGAAGGCAGCCCTTGTTGGCGCGAACGGCCTTGGCGAAGGCCTTGGGGCCCTGGTCGACGATGATTTGTCTCCATCCCTTCTTGCAGGGTTGGGAAACATCGAGCCTGGTGCCGTCCTCCTTGAGAAGCTCAGGCAGGATGATGTCGCCCTTGAACTTGGGCTCGCCAATCTGGCCCTTGATGCTGCTGCCGTTGACGGCAACGTCACCAAGGTACGCGAGAAGCTTTTGCGCACGGTTCTGGCTGCCAATGAGGTCGAACAGCTGAGGAGTGTCGTCGATGAACGTCGTCCAGCAGTTGCCATCGATGAAGGTGGGGTGCGTCAGCAGAGACGCAAGGAAAGGAATGTTGGTCTTGACACCACGGATACGGAACTCGACAAGGGCACGGAGAATCTTTCTGCGGGCAATCTCGTATGTTGAGCCGTGGCAAGTGCACTTGACCAGCATGGAGTCGTAGTAGGGGGTAATGACGGCACCGGCGAAACCGTTGCCACCGTCGAGACGGACACCGTTACCACCGGCAGAGCGGTAGACCTCAATCTTTCCGGTGTCGGGGGAGAAGCCCTTCGCGGGGTCCTCAGTTGTGATTCTGCACTGGATGGCGAAACCTCTGGTGGAGATGCGGTCCTGTGTGAGACCGAGCTGCTGCAGAGTGGCGCCAGCGGCGATCTGGATCTGGGCGGCCACGATATCGATACCCGTGATCTCCTCAGTGATGGTGTGCTCGACCTGGATACGGGGGTTGATCTCGATGAAGTAGTACCTGTTCTGCTGGTCGACCAGGAACTCGGCGGTACCGGCGTTGCGGTAGTTGACCGACCTGGCCAGCTTGACGGCGTCGTTGAGAATAGCATCGCGAGTCTCGGTGGGGAGGTCCTTCGCGGGAGCAATCTCGACGACCTTCTGGTGGCGACGCTGGACGGAACAGTCACGCTCGTAAAGGTGGACAATGTTGCCATGGTTGTCACCGAGGAGCTGGACCTCAATGTGCTTGGGCTTGTCGAGGAATCTCTCGACGAAGACGGTGCCGTTGCCGAAGGCAGATTTGGCCTCGGAGGTGGCTCTCTCGAAGGACTCCTTCAAGCTCTCCTGCTCGCGCACGACACGCATGCCGCGACCACCACCACCGTAGGCGGCCTTGATGATGATGGGGAAACCATATTGATCGGTGAAGCTCTTGACCTCCTCAAATGTTGCAACGGCGCCTTCGGTACCGGGGACGACGGGGACATCGGCAGCGATAGCGAGCTTTCGGGCGGAGACCTTGTCGCCTAGCGAGTCAATGACATCGGCCGTAGGTCCGACGAACTAAAACGGGCCCCGAGTCAGTTGGGTTGTCAGATTTTAGGGGCTGCTACAGGATCTCTTACAATGAGGCCGGCCTTCTCGACGTTGCGCGCGAACTCGGCGTTTTCTGACAGGAAGCCGTATCCTTTGGCGGTGGATTAGCACATGTCAAAATGGTGGTTTTTTTTTGTGCTCTTACCTGGGTGAATCATCTGCGCGCCATGCTCGACGGCAATCTTGATGATCTCATCTCCAGCGAGATAAGCACCGACCGGGGTGTATTGACCGCGCTTGCCAATGACGTATGCCTCGTCGGCCTCTGTGGAACAATGGTTAGAGAGGAACGGAGAGGACAAGCAGCTGCGTGAAGGACATACTTTGTCTGTGCATGGAGAGACGGTCCTCATAACTGTGATTTTTAGTATGCGAAACTTGGTTCGGGCCAGGCGATGTGTTTTACCTGAAGACAGCGATGGTGTGCAATGAAAGCTCGTGGGCCTACAGAGAGTCAGCGATGCGTCGCAAGATATGATGGCGCAGCCGGTTGGATTACTTACAGTTCTGAAAATCTAGACGGGCAGAAAAGTAAGCATTGCAATTCTAGACAGTACCTTGAGCGTCGAGGAGGTTCAACATACACGAATGGCTGAACGACTGTTAGCTTGCGTGAGTCAGGGCCGGATGAATGGATGTACTTACGAATTTCACCACGGTTGGCAACTAGAGGCATGAAGACACTGGTCAGCGCAATTCTCGAGGGATTGGTTCGGATAGCTCCGTCGAGCTTCG